TGTACAGCTTTTTCTCCTGTCGATGTCCCCTAAATAATGTGGTAACAAGTATTGTACGTGGCACTGTGAGTCACCTAGAGATGATTGTAAGTGCACATAACACTGTACACAGGCTATGTCTAGTTCTGTGCCATTTAATATATGAGACTCACACACCCACGGATTTTGTATCCTCGGGGGTGACTCCAGGGACCAAATATCCTGCAGTTCCCAAGGAACAATGGTGTCCTAGTGGTGACTCACAGGGCCCGAAGCTCACCCCTGCACTTTGGGCTGTCTCGCTCTCTCTCTTGGTTCTTACCTGGGATTAGGCTCAGCAAAGCCTCCACGCAACTTACAGAGGCCAAGGTCCTGTCACTGTCATTGAGCTGGGTGTGACACAGCCAGCAGGAGGAGAGGGAGCAGTGGGGCCCAGGTCCTCCCGACATCTGACCCTGAGGCCTGGCAGCCAACCACACACTGCTCAGTGTGCCAGTCTGCCCGCCGTGGGCTTCCCTTCTGCCCAAGTGACCGGACACCAGCAGGAGGGCTGAGCGGGAAGCAGAGACACGGGGCAAACTCAGGGCTGTCTTCTCGGCGAGGCCCAAGCCGCCCGAGTTTTACCTGTACCCAGTGTCAGTTTATCAGCAGCTCTGCACTCACTCTGACCTGCCTGTGAGGACAGAGGTGTCCTTTGCTAACCTTGTCAGTGAAGGTGCTGCCACCCTGGCTCCAGCCTGCCCACTCCTCAGGCCCCCCCACTCCTGGGGCCTGGAGCCCCTCTCCACACCCCTACCTTGGGCTCCAGGCCCCTGAGGAGATGCCTCCTGAACAACTCCCCTGGCCACTAGAGGGTAGATTTCCAGGAAGTTCCACCCAAGCTAGGCCAGAGCAGCTTCTCGCCATTTGGGGAGCCCTAACGGTGGTCCTTCTTTGGGCCTTGGGTCAGGGACTCGAACCGTGTCTTGGGTACTCGGCGGGGCCCGAAGGAGGCGACCACTGCTTGTGTATCACAGGTCTTTATTCCTGGTGCTCCCCTCACTGCTAACCAGCCAATCCTTCCTGACTCTGACTTCCCAAGTGTCCCTATTCAAGCTCAGAAGTGACTTCTGACTCCTGACAGGATCCCAGCTGACGAGCAGCTTCAGTGGCCCTTGTTTCCCCGGAAAACAGCGCGGCTTGTTAAATGCATGGCGGGGCGGTCACGCCAGGGAAGGCTGTGGAATCACCCCATTCTAGGTGGAGCAGGATAGAATCAAGGGCAGATGAAGGAAATTCCAGCAGATACTATCTGCTGCCTTCCAGGTCCTGGAGAGCTGGCTTGTGACAATGGACTTGTCTTGTTGAACAGGAAATTCAGACAGAGAGAGGACCAAGCTGTAAAAGCTATGAGGCAGAAGGAAGACCCCGAGCAGCAGAGGTAAGGACTTTCTCACCACCACAGCTGTCCGCGTGGCAACCACATGACTTCATCCAGACCCGTGCCGAAAGGAGGCACCAGCCGGACCCTGCAGGGGAGGATTCCTAAGAACACATCACTCTGAGAGATGATGACAAATAAAATATAGGGCAGGGTGTTGCAAAATAAAACATAATAAAAAGCTAGATAATAACATTAGATCTCTTTGCCCTAAAATCTGGATGCTTAGGTCATTCTAACATGGTTATAATTAATAAAGGCATTATGGAAAAGTTTTTCTCCTCCTTTTAATATTTTCTTGCAATATATCCAGCTGGATAAAATCTCACAAAGTAAAAATAGTATGGGCAGAATTGACTTATTATATAATTCTATAATTTAGTTTTCAGTTTGGTCCTAAAATCTCATTTGCTGGGTTTTTTTTAATCTTAGGAACCCTAAGGCTGTTTAACTTAGACATTTATAATGTACTAAAGTTACTGCGAGACTATTTAAATAGTTAGCATTAAGCGCACATGAATTTAGGGTTCTATAAATGTCCTCTTGGACCGTGTAAGATAGAGTACCTCTGGAAACCTAGCTGACAAATTCAAACCCAGTCTCACACTGCTGAATAATTATTTCTCCATCAAGAGGCAACACACGTTTACCTTTATTGATTGAAGTTAATGAGCTCGACCATTACACAGAAAAATCTTGATTAACCAGCTTGGTAATTTAACAAATATTTACTGATTGTCTTTTGCCAGCAACTCTGAATATGGTAGTGAGAAAGACAAATACGATCTCTTCCCTATGGGGCAAAAATGAGGTTCTCTTATGTCAGGGATGCATAAGGCTGAGAAAACGAAGAGGCTCGGAAGGGGTAACCTGCGTTAAGACCTGGAGAGGGAGTGGGGCCAAAAACATCTCTTGTCTGAAGAAGTGATATTTAGGAGGAGCCCTAGAACTTGGGGGGAAAGGGACGAGGAGGACATGCATTGTTGCAGGTGCAGGAAACAAACACCACATCCCAAAATGTAGCATCTAGGATATTCAGGGATCTGGAGACACTCCTGACCTGCAGTAGGAAAGGTCAGGGGGCCTGAGAGGGACAAAAACTGATGAGAGATGAGCTTTGCTCTTAACCTTGTATATCAGTTCATTTCTGTTGCTATAATGAAACAGCAGAGGCTGGGAACTTTATAAAGAAGAAAGGTTTATTTCACTCATGGTTTTGGAGGCTGGAAATCCAAAACTGGGGGTCCCATGTCTCCTGTCTCTAGTGACAGCCCCCCCGGCTGCACCCCAACATGGCAGAGGAGCAGAAAGGGAAACCTTGCAGGAGGGACCAAGTGCAGGGGACGGCTTTGCTTGTGACTTCCCACTCTGCAAGCACAAACTCACCCTTAACACTCGGGACCAAACCTGTATTTGACCTTTTGGGGGACAAACCATACCCAAGCCACAGCACTTTACGTGTTTATATCCTATTCCTCTTAATTCTGTGCATTCACATGTGTGTGTGTCTGTGTGTGTGTGTGTGTGTGTGCGCGCACGCATGCGCATGCACATGCACAAGCACCCACTCATAGGTATGCATGTTTGCTGGGTCTACGAGATGACACGTATTCCTTACCATTCATCCTAGTCAAAAGAAAATATTTTAAATGTCACTTTATGTTCAGTCAACTGAGAAACCACTGAAGGACTGAAGCCCGCATGGTGACCGGGCTGTGTGTGTGAAGTTCCACCCTGGTTGCAGAGAAGAAAATGCACTGTGAGGAGTAAGACTGGAAGCAAGAGGCAGCTGCAGAGGGGTCGATCGCCCTTCATCTGGCTGGAGCCCTGGGGCCAGGGCTGTGGGAAGGAGGCACCTCTAAGGTCTGATGTGGATGGAGTGTGTCAGTGAGCTGGTGAGAAGTAGAGTCTGCTGCCCAGGATGTTGGCCAGAGCAATGGTTTGCATCGTGGGCCGTGTTTTCTGAAGGGAATCTTGGAGAGGAAGCATGCTGCTCTGCAGAGTGAGCTGCTCAGACAGCCAAGATTGAAGTCTGTGCAAAACGTATCTTGGAGGTGTCACACAGCAGGTGGACAGGTGTCTCAAGGTAGAGAAGAAGAGGGGAGATAAGAAATGGTGTTTACATGCCAGATACTTCCTCAGCTCCTGCCACGTGCACCGGCTAAACACTGTGGTCCAGACCCACATTAGTAAGTGAAGATCTTATTGCTGTCCCCGTGGAACTTACAACATTTGTCACTTAAATGAGAATTGAAGCCATCGGCATGGATATATTTACCTAGGGTGAGAGTTTAAAATAATGAGCGAGTTTATAACTCCTAACACAAGAGAAATCGAAGAGTAGTCAGCAGGAGGAGGCCAAAGTAAAGAAAATGAGCATTGTGCTCTGCCCCCGACAGCCAAGAAAAGAAAGCACCTTGAAAAAGAGCTCAGCTCACAGAAGCCAAGAGGCAGAATCAACCTAGTGTCCACCAGTGGGGGAGGGGGAGGAAACACAGGGCTTCTGTGTACACAAGGGGACATTATCCAGACCCAAAGAAGGGGCGACCCTGTCATTTCTGACAACACGGGTGGACCTGGGGGACATCGCCTTATGTGAAATGAGACACACACAGAAAGGCAAGTACTCAGGTTCTCACTCATATGTGAAAGGGGAAAAAGTGGGCCTCAGATCTGAAGAGAGTAGGGCAGTGGTTACGGGAGGCAGGGAGAGGGGACAGAGGGAGGCTGGATAAAGGGAACAAAGACACAGAGAGAAGAAGTGATTCCAGTGCAGTGGGATGACCGCAGTTTGCAAGAGCCCATTACATATTTTATGAAGAACTAGAAGACAAGAGCTTGAAGGGTGCAAACATTAAAAAAAAAGAGAGAGGGAATGCTAATTACCTTGACCTGGATCATTTCATGCGGATAATATGTAGAAATATCACACTGTTCCTCATAAATATATATACTTGTGTGTTATTTAAAAAGGAAAAATTGAATTTAAAAAACATGTAAAAGGAGAATGCAGGTGTCAGAGTCTACGCCAATCACCCTGAAATGACACAGACATCTATCTCCCTTCAACAGAGTGCGAATACTTTCTCTTTCTTACCTGCTACACAGTCTCTTAGGGTGAACAAGGAAATCGATAGCAAAACTATCAGTTGCATATGAAATGCCAATTTTCATCATGTTCAGTAGCAACACTGCAACAGGAATTTCAATTCCAGGAACCACAATTCAAAAAGTTAAAATATTGTCATCCAAAATTATTTTTGCCAGGCCCGATGGCATGCACCTGCAGTCCCAGCTCCTTGGGAGCCTGAGGCAGGCAGATGGCTTGAGTGTGGGAGTTCTGGGCCATGGTGAGCTGAGGTAATTGGGTCTAAGTTTAGCGTCAAATACGGTGACCTCACAAGAGTGGGAGACCAACAGGTTGCCTAAGGAAGAGCGAACCTACCCAGGTTGGAAAGGGTCACACAGGTCAAAATTACTTTTGTTTCAAAAATTAAAAATAGACTGAAGATTTGTACGAAAAGATAAAATATAAAAGGTAATAGAATTGTAAAAGAGGGGGAAAAAATAAATCCGATGCATATTATGTGGGACTGTAAGTGAAGTGCAGCTATTTATTTCCTGGCATATTTATTTGTCAATCTCTGTATGAAGTATAGACTGGAATTATTCTGATATTGAATAACTTCACAAATTGGAGAACTCCGTCTTATTCCTTTCTCTGTTGCTATAGCAACAGTGTATCAACTAAAGAGGTTTGTTCAGCTCACTGGATGGTGCTGGCCTCTACTCCACTCTGGTGAGGACCAACATGGCGGTTGGCAGGGGGGCCCACAATTACAGGGGAGAAGGCAGCTACAAGGAGTTCCAAGGTGACACAGGAAGTGACAGGCATTTCAGAAGCACTTGTCCTTGTAGGCTCACTTCTGTGGGACCCAGTTCACTCCCGGAGACCAGCATCAATCCATTCCAAAGACCTGATTATCTTCCACTGCCTCACACACCACCCAGCAACCCAGTTCCAGCACACACAAACCACACCCAACCAGAGTGCCCACTCTTCTCCGGGTGCTGACAAGCCCCAGGGACACAGGGAAGCTAGCAGAGAACCTCATGCCAGAGAAGTCACCTGCTGGGGTTTCGACTTCTTAGATGCAGCACTGTGAGGTGCACGCCTACATCTCTGGGATGAGATCTAAGCCTGTGGAGGACAGAGGGAATGCAAGGCATAGTTACTGTCATTGTCATTATTAAAGGTTTCTGCAAGGGGAACGACGGTGGCGACACACAGTGACTAACTGCAAGATGAGGCTTCAGACTGCAACATGGAATGGGCAAGGCATCAATAGAATACCATGTAGGCCCTGTTCTTTAGTTAGTAGTTTGAGTTGATGTTTGTTTCCTGGTTTTGAGCATTATAATATGGATGTGTCAGGTGTTAACATTAGGAGAAATTGAATGAAAAGTATACTGGAAAATTCTCTACTTTTTTTAACAACTCTTTAGGAAGTGTGAAATTATTTTAAAATAAAAGTTTCTGCTCAAATTCAAAGACATGGTTAAAAACACTCGGTGAAGCTGTAATGAACGGAGAGTCACTAAACTCTCAAAGCAGGTCTGAGTCTGTATTTCCCTTAACTATTTCCTAATGGATTTTCTTGGTTGGAGTCTCTGTGATCAGCTTAGAGAGTGCGACAGTTAATCTTGATCATCAGCTTGATTTGCTTAACCGCTCCTACGTCGATTAGTAAAGCACACTCCAGCCCATGGGGAGCCATGAGCTTGGGAGCTGCATGTGGTCCCTGGCCTCTCCCTCTGGTGTGCTCCCCCAGCTTCCCAGCTGCCTGGCTCCACCACACCCTTCCACCGTGATGTTTCTGCCTTGGAGCCACCCTTAGTCTGAAACCTCTGCGACCACGAGCCTGAGTAAACCTCTCTGCCTTTTAAGTGTCAGGTGTTTTATCCAAAAGACAGGAAAGCTGATCAGTGCAATGAAAAAAGTTCCCATCTATGAAATCATTGTAAGCCTTCAAAATACTTTGAGTTTGGCTGCTTCTTCAAGTTTTTCTGCATCTTGGCATAGCAAATCACCTCCTCTGGACTCACTATTCCGGAGGAAGGCTGGACTCCACACACTGCTTGCTATTTTACTAATAACAACAAGCAAAATAGTTTCACTGGCTCCCAAAAATATGATTCTATCTCGTTTTATTTTATTGTTTTAAATTTTCTGCCTGTCATTCCGATAAAATGCATTTTAGCTTGCTTTTAAAATACTCATACTAATCTCTTTACACTTTGCAATGTTCATTATACTGACTGTAAACAGCCCGATGTGGTGTGTAAACCACCTCAGCCCATGAAGAATATGTCAGTGTGTAGACCCACACCCAGGCAACACTGCTCTCCATGCGCCACTGACTCAGTCGGCCAAACATGTTATTGAAAGAACACCCGGTGTGCAAAACACTGCCCGGCCTCTTGTTGTGGAGAAATGGTAAACAATGGAGCCCGACCATATCATCAGGAAACACTTGCTCTGCATTCCCAACTCATTCTATTACTTGTAAATGCACTAAGTGTTATAAGGGGAGTTTGCCAAAGTCAGCAAAGTCAATTTTAAAAATAAAGATGAAAAGGAAGGTCTGGGTATTTGGGCTGAAAGTCTTTTGCCCAGTGCAAGGCTTGCATGGTAACCAGGAGGGTCCGGTTGTAGTCTGTGGGCTGGGAATTCCAGGAGCAGCCGCAGCAGGCAGAGGAGCAGCAGGGACCCTTGGCCCAGGGAGGCCCCTTCCTCTAATCTCTTCCATGTAAATGGACACCACAGGAAAGCACATTGCCCGGCAGAACCTGGAACAAGAATGATGTCATTGGACCAGCACTGATCCATCCACTGAAAGGACAGTTTGCTCAAAGAAGCCAGCGTTAAAGAGCTGCTCCAATCCAACCACAAGTGAGGAGAGAGGGACCTGTGTGCTCTGGGGTTAGGCAGCGCTGGCTGCCGGGCATGGCGCTGATGGCTCAGCAGACCCAGCCTCAGGGAGAGCTCAACTGACCTGAGAACTGGAACCTGTGGTTTCCTTTACAGCGCCTTCCACCACTGGATTTCGTGTTCTGCTTAGCATTTCACATTTCTCAGGACACACAGGGAGGCCTCATCTTGTCCTGTCACCAAAAACATGCAATTTATTTTCCGCTGAGACTTACAAGAGATTCCTTCACAGCAAGACTACCTGGAACCGCACAGCAGCCCTCCCTCCCCAGACAGCCAAAGCTTTTAGGGACGCATGAGTGAAGAAAGTGAAGAGGTGGAATTCTGAGTGAGCTGTATGCAGAAGGGGTCAGGGCCAATAACTCACGTCTGAATTCCTGGAAGGACTCACGGAGGTCTGCTGGCTGAGTGAAGACAGACTCTTCAGAGCACGAATGTACAGGAAGTGTCCAAAGTACCAGCGAAACCAGACTGTCCGGAACCCGAAACTAGGGCGCAGCCTTCCATCTGCCCCTTCCAGGTACATCTTGCTGAGTCAGAAAGAACTAAGGTTACCTGGCTTCTGGGGATCAGATGTGGGGCCAGAGGAGCTGGAAAGGGTCAGGCAGAAGTAGGACACCAGGGGGCGACGTCAGCACGTGTTGGGGGGCTCCCGGACCCCTGCCTGCAGCCCAGGGAACAGTTTGCTCCTGGGGCCCAGAGGTGAGCAGACTGGACAGAAAGCCAGAGGAGATGTCCCTCTGCTCCAAAGCAAGGCAGGCGACATACCCAGTTTTCCCTAGCGGTTTGTCCGTGCTCAGGTGAAACAAGAAGAGAGATGGAGAGCACGGCTGTCCAGGGTGTCTCAAGCAGCCGGAGATCGCACTTGGCCAGCACAGCGTGCTCAGGGGCGAGAGGTCTGCGGCACAGCAGGGCAGCGGGACCGAGCTGTTGGCTGGGCACGTCTGCCCCAGCCCCTCCCCTGCCAGGTTCACAGCCTTGATGAGTTTCCTTCGTGGGCCCCAGATCTCGGGCTTCTACTTTAAATGCAAATGTCTCTCTCAGCCTCAACTCTGCGATCACCACGGAACGGCGTCTGAGAGCCCCTGCACCGTGGTCTCGGGCTCACATCCTGGCTGCGCCGCATTAGTTCACCCCTCCAGTCAGTTCCACCTGCAGAACAGAGCTGCTCCCCAGCGCCTCGCCTGCACGGCTCGCTTCCCAGATGAGCTGTCTTCGCCCCTTCGGCCCGGGCTCCGCACGGCAGCCAGCACCGTCTGGTTGGATGTGAGTCAGCCCAGAGCCCCACGCTCTCGGAACCCTCCAACAGCGTCTCACCTTCCACCCAGTGGAAGCCAAAGTCTTGCAGTGGGCAAGCGGGCTCCATCCCATCGGATCCTGCTGTCTCTCTCTCCGACCTCTCTTACTGTTTTCCTCTGCTCAACCCACCCCAGCCAGTCAGTCCTTCTTGCTGACCTTGAACTTTCTAGGCGTGGCCCACCTCAGGGCCTTTGGACCTGTGTCTTCCTCTGCCATCAAGGCTCTTCCCCAACAAATGTCCACGGCTCGTTCTCCTCTCTTTCAGATCCTGACTCAAGTCCATACCTCAAACCCCTGTCCCATTTCCGGGTATGTCACTTCGTAGCATGTATCATCCTGCAGCTAGCACCCAACACTCAACAGCTTTCCGATTTCACTGACTGCTGGGACTGATGAACACTGAATGGCTCTCGCGCAAATCAGGCGGCATGAAGGGCTGATGATGGAGACAAGATAACAAGAACCACTGGGCGAGGCAGCCGCTTCACTCGCTGGCAAGGGGGCAGCAGTGCCCTCTAGCGAGGGTTTTCACCAGCAGGCCACCCAGTAGAGGGCCATGAGGTCCTTTCAGGGGACTGTGACCATAGACACAAATAACATTACAAAGAAAGAATTTTAGATCAAAGTATATTTTTTTAAAAAGCGTTATTTCACAAAATTCCTGTTTCTGATGCACATGCGCGTAGACGCTAGATTATTGCAATGTTAAATGTTTTATTCATTGTGGTTCTTAATTTAAAAAGTTGAAAGACATGTTGAGGTAAATTACAACCCCTAGAGCAGGTAAAATAACCCGGTTTAGCTGTTCCCCGAGAAAGCTCTGCGTCCTTTCATGAGCAGGGGCACGGGGTGCTGGCGTCCGCCTTCCTCTGAGGTCCTACTCGTTTTTCTTTATTCTTTTCCTTTCTGTTCTTCGTGTTACATAATCTTCGTCCACCTCAGAAGTTGGCTAACTGTCCCTGTTCCTTCTGGTGCACGGCCTGGGGATTTAGCGCAGTGGTTTCGCCGCTTGCTGCGCAAGCGCAAGAACCCGAGTTCGATCCCCAGTACCAAAACACAACAAACAAAACTTCCGGTGCAGTGTGACAGTTTGACACAAGTGCACAGTGAGCAAAGGGTGATTATCCTTCACCTCCGAGAACTGACTGCTGTCACTCCGCCGTGTTGGGAGCTTTGAATGCACAAAACACACAGTAAATGTTGAACTCCAGTCTCCCAACTGCACCGGAAGACACTGGGACTTGCCCTTCCCGTGTGACCATGTTTTGGAGGCTGGGCTCCAGCCCCTCCTTTCCCTTCCTAACCTCCCGTGACCTCTGCTCCACTCTCCGTAATGGTTGGGTTACTTTTTCCTTCTATAGAGCCTTCACCAGTTACACTCCTGCTTGCTGAGGAGAAGGCCTGCAGCCTTCCTACTCCTCCTTCCAGGGTTTCTGCCTCTGTGCAAACCACCACGAGTTCTTCCCCTCTGCCTGTAGTTTTCTGGGCGGAATCCCAGGGATGAGGTGCCTGGGCCACCCTGCCACCCTCAGCAGGCACCTGCCCCATGGGCTTCTCCTCGCCTAAAATCTCTTAGACTCGACTCAGAGAGGAGTGCAGGAGGCTGAGGGGGAACGCACAAGTGCAGAGCTCCTTCCTGGGGGTCCTGGGTCCAGCGGCGGACAGCGAAGTGCCAGACCACAAATATTCCCTAATGGAGCCGCCAGGCTTCAGCTCCGAGGGGCCGTCTGTACCGCCCATGCTCCAAGGACATGAGGTCCGCGAGGGCAGGGATTTCTGTTTCTGTTCTCCAGTGCTGGGTCCTCGGAGCCTGGAGCTGTGCCTGCTGCACGGTGGGCACCCACTGACTGGGCGTCGTTCACCACCACCTCCTCCATTGTCTGAGGTTGGGGATGCGATGGCAACGACACCAGGATTCTCCCAGAGAACCTCGAGCTCCCTCACACGCCACTGTCTGGTGCCAACGTCAACCACAGCCCCAGCTGCAGCCCTGCCAGGCTCGCACCCAGCCCCAGGGCAAGAGGGATGAGCGCAACCCAGCAGAGCTGCTTCTAGAAGTGGCTTTCAGGAGCCTCACCTTGAACAAACTGTGACGGTATCCATAGCACCTTCCCAGAACCGACGCTGCACAGCTATCCTCTGAAGCCTTTGACGGCCAACACTAATCACAATCTCCGAAACAGTTGGAAGCAGCTCATTGTAATTCAAATGACTGAGGTCTAAACGTCAATGTTTCTTCTCACCAAAGTTCTGCTGAAACAAAGGCCATACAGGTTGACATCCCTGATACAAAAACCCCAAATCTGAAAAGCTCCAAAGCCAGAACTCTCGAACACCAAAATGACACCGAGCAGAAATCTCTGCATCATAAAATCTTGATTCCTGCACTGATCTATGGAAAATATTGTATAAACTCACCCCAAGATTCTGTATAAAATATATAGCACATAAATGAGTTTTGTGTTTAAATTTGGGCCCTGTCACCAAGATATCTTACATGTGCTTACAAATCCTCCAAAGTCAGACAACACTCCGGGTCCCGAGCACCTGGGCTAGGGGAGACTCCATCTGTATGAAGAAGAATTTGTAAATGACTAGTGAACAGGCGTTTTCCCAGCAAAGACAGCTTTTCTTTGTTATTTCTTTGTAATCCACTTCATCTGTAAAACACAATTAGTCAAAAACAAGCCCTTCCAGGGCCTCTGATCCTGGGTCTGCCCTCCAGCTGAGCTCTCCAAGGGTCATACAGGTCTCCTGTGATCCCGGAGATGGTCTCCTCTGCTGCCACGCTTGGGCCCCCTGCACTCAGGGTCGGCAGGAGCACATCCATTCACTTGGGCCTGGGGCTGTGGCCAGAAGCCCAGGTTGCCAGCTGAACTGCACTGCGCCTAATTAATCATGGTTTTATGAGGTGGGTGGCAATGCCCAAGGGGCCAACTCAAGACTGCTGGATTTATTGAGCTCTGACTGCAATCCCACAGCTGCCAGCATGCACACAGCGGAGCCTGTGTTACAGGGACACTCATGCTGCAAGAGAATCACTCCAGGGAAGGCCAGGGACCTGCTGTCCAGTGCGGGTCCCTGATTCATGAAGCACTGCACATCCAACAGGAGCACAGGTGGATAGCACAGGTGACAACCTGCAACAAGGGCACACTGGCCACTGAGGGGGAGGGGCAGAGTCGGGAAAAGTGAAGTCACGCATTTCAGGAATACCAGGAATAGCGGCTGCTAACGGAGAGGAGGCTGGAGACAAGGTGGGTCAGGCAGGGCCGTGATCATGAAGCTGCTTAGGGCTGGGATTCGTCACCTGTCTCTGATGCCACGGCAGCGCCAGCCCTCCATCAGCGGAAGAAGCGGGCCGGATGATACAGGTGGGCGGGCTCACCCAGGTCACCACATCTAGCTGTGGGGAACATTCTCAGTCATGGACTGAAGGTAAAATATTCTGCTGAAGATGGAAAGAAAGGCAAGTTTTAGCCCATGCACAGGACAGAAATCCATTACAATTTGGAGTTTGCTCTTTTTATTCTTTATTCTGAGATAGGTTCTCACTGAGTCTCTAAGGTGCCCGAGCTGGAGCTGTGCTGGTGGTCCTCCTGCCTCAGCCTCCCAGAGTGCTAGGATTACAGGCCAGCACCACCTTGCCCAGCCCGTTTGATATTTTAGGCTTCATCTTCTATACCATCGCCCCCAGAGAGTTCTCTTTCCTTAAAGCATTTTTCATATGAAACATGGAGGCTTTGTGCATCATTTCTCTTGATCTAAAACACTGCAAACTGACTCAAAGCAAGCACATAAGAAGCACAGTTCAGATGCATAAGGAAAAGATACAGTCGGGAGCCTAGAGATGCTCACATGGGAAGCCAGTACATCCAGAGTGAGACCTTCCCAGGCTCTAGGAGGAACTTGCAGGTGCTGACAAGGCCAACCCTCCATCCTCGTGTGTCCAACACAGAACACTCTCTCTCATCATCCAGGGTCACTGTTGATTTCACCCCTTCATTCTGGAAGGCATCCCAGTTGGGACAATGAACTGTGCAGTGGCGTAGAGCTGGGAATCAGTCCTAGAGATCTGCACACCTCATCTTTCAGGTGAGGGCTCCAGCATCTCACCACCAACCTGGTGCCCCCAGCTGGCCTCCATTCCAAAGTGGGCAGTGGGGGCCGGGGATTTAGCTCAGTGGCACTGCATCTGCCTCGAAAGCAGAAGGACCTGAGTTCAATCCCCAGTACCAAAAAAAAAAAAAAAAGCAAAAACCAAAGTGGGCAGTAAATGATCAGCAGCCAGAGGCATACCTGAGTCTTGATGCCACATCATGACACTCACTAGGACAGCTGTAACTGCCCTGGTACTGGTGGCCTGGGTTGGCTGGGGGTTTCTCTGCCATCCCCCCAGGCATCGCTCCAGGTTTATAGCTTGAAGCTTGACATTTTGCTCTCTCCTGGCCCAGCTAAAGAGTTCTTTTAAAGTTTGTGACAGCTCTCAGCCTCTCCATTTGTCATGGAAACTGAACAGCTCTTTCTCATCAGCATCCCATAAGAGACATACTAAAGACATACTTGGGAGTCATGTTTCCCAGAAATTCAGACACACTGAGGAGGAGATGGTCCAGCTTGCTGTGGTGACCCTTAAGAGCCATACATATCAAGCAACACATCACCTTCCTGGTCATTCGGAAGAGCTCCAGCTCTCCTGTAATGTTTCTCTGACATTGTGTCTGTCAGCTTTCTGTCATTGTGACAACATACCCGAATCAACGAGCTTACAGGAGGAAAAGTTTACTTTGGTTTATGGTTTTAAAGCTTTCAGTCCATGGTTGCTTGGCCCTGTTGCTTTGGGCTGTGGCAACACAGTATAAGATGACAGAAGCACATGGCATAGGAGGCCTGCTCACCTCATGGTAGCCAGGAAACAGAAGGAAGAGGCCAGAGTCCCAACATCCCCTGAAGGCCATGCCCCCGGGGCCTCACTTCCTTCCACTAGGCCCCTCCTCTTAAAGACTGCACCACCCGACCATCACACCCCAGGCTGAAGACCAAGCCTCCAACACGTGCTACCTTGTTCCTGTTCTAAACCCTAACAAACCATGTGCTCTTTGATTATCTCCGTGAAATGGCAGGATTTGCTTCCCACTGTGCTCCATGACCTACCAGGCTGGCTCAGAATTGGGCCTCCAGATATTCCCAGGCTCCACATATTCTCAATCTTTATTGGTCTCAGGCAATGGATGCATCCAGATTGTAAAATTAGATGGAATAACATTTGGATCCTAGCTGGATGACCCTAGTTATCTTCACTCACCCAAACATCCATACGTGGTGACATTAGACACCGCAGAATCAACTGCTGTGACAAGAGACCAGCAAAGACCTGGGAGCTGGAAGAGCAAAAGAGTTCATTGCTCACTCGCAGACTATTCTGAAGCAAGCCTTCCAGTCTGGCTGGTAGTTCTGTCCCATGCAGTGAGTCAGGGCCGCAGGCGGGAGCTTCCTGCCATCTTTGGCCATGGCTTCCACTGCCACTTTTGTCACTAAGGAAGGGGTAGAAAAGAGTGGATGACACATCCCATTGTCTCATAGGCCCCTCTCTGGAGTGACCCACTCTGTGGGAAGAACTTGGCCCTGTTGAACCAGGTACCACATGGAGGGCTGGGACAGGTAGTGTAGCCAGTCTCCAAATTCCAGATAAACTGACTTCCGTGACAGAAGAGCGAGCTTTGGCATGTGATTAGCATTTTCCACCGCAGTGGTAACACTGCCTTCCCCTCAGAGTGTTATGAGTTATATTCAATAACTCATATTGTTAATGTGTGCATGTGTGTGTATGCTAAGATGTACACACTATAACATGTGTCATTTTCATCTTTCTTTTGGTTCCAGGGGTTTAACCCAGGGCTTCCTGTATATTCAACACACGCTCTACCGCTGAGCTACCCCTCTATCTGAACCATTTTTAAAGGCGTGGGTCATTCTACCATTCCATGCAAATCCACTCACACTTCGTGGTGGCCATCACCACCGCCCATCTCTAGGACTATTCCGTCTTCCCAAGCTGAAGCTCTGTTCCCAAGAAGCAGCAACTCCCCAGCCCTCCCTGGCCACCCCCTCTGCTTCCTGTCTCTAGGAATTTGACAACTCTAAGTACCTCATATAATTGACATCATAAAATATTTGTCTTTTGCAACTGGTTTACTTCACTGAGCATAATGTCCTCAAAGTTCATTCATAATGTAACACGTGTCGAAATTCCCTTCCTTTTAAAGGCTGAATAATATTCCATTGGATGGAAAGACCATAGTTTGTTTGTCCATCTATCCGTAGACATTTGTGTCTACAGTGTATAATGCTGCTGTGGACATGGGTGTACAAATATTTCTTTGAGTCTCTCTTTTCAGTTCATTTAAATATATACTCAGAAGTGCAGTACATATCACAGTGCTCATTGGAGCTCTGTTCGAATTTCCCTTACAGCTGGTGGTGTTGAGCATGTGTTCCTGTGCATGTTGGCGTCTGAATACCCTCTGGGAAGAAACGACTATCCAGCTCTCTTGCCTGTTTTTCTGTTGTTGGGTTTTAGGTTGCCGTTAAACTTGAATCAGTTCATGCCGTCTCCCACTTCAGCCCTACACTGGCTTTCCACTGCATGTAAATGCACCCCGTTCACATGCCCGCCCTGGTTGGTGACTCTTTGCAAGCTGCCTTTCACCAGCTCACCCCACCCCCCAGCTCTCTAAGAAACCCCAGCGCCTTCCTTCTCTCCCTCCAATGCACCTCTGACCTTTCCTCGGCTCCCTCTGCCCTGCGCCTCCCCTCTCTGCTCAGAGAGGCCTTTGGGGACCACCACGCCCTCCGCCTTAGCTGACCGCCCTGGGCCACTGTCAAAGCCCCCTCCTGTCCATCACAGCCTTACGACCTTGTCTATTCTGGTCCTTTTCTTTTCTATCTCCCTCCCCTTGGAGCTCTCAGTGCTGGCACCTGGCCTGTCTTGGCCTCAATATCTTTAACACCTTGTGCTGGGACCAAGCTCCAAGCCGCCTAAGAGGCATTTTTCAGCAAACAAACTTCTGCTCCTCTGACCACTATTTCTGCTTCTACTGTTTCTAGTGTTTGCTGAGAATCCAACACAAGCCAGACATTTTGCTAAGTATTACAAATACATGAATACCCTTAGAAACCTGAACATCAGGTATTACCATGTCCACCCTATGGGTGAGAAAACAAGGCCTCAAGTTGACTGAGAGACATGCTCAAGGTCACTTGCTATGATGTCATCTAATGGAGACTGAAATCCAGATCTTTCCAACCTCAGACTTCGTAGTTTTCTTGCTCCAGCAGCTCCAAGCTGGCTTTCTGTGATTCTATGCAACAGCAAAGCTGACAGTGAGACAGCAGAGTTGCCTTCCACCTGCTGAGGGCTGAGAAACAATGCTTACCTTTGTCTGGGACAGTTTGTTACTTACCATCAGCTGCCATGTCCTCCTGTCTCCTCTCCAACTCCTGTCACCCTCTCTCCCAGCTCAAGCCTTGTGTCCTCCTACCTGAAGCTCACACAGCCTGTGAGTTCCCTCTGGGTCCCAAATGCCTGTTCCTCTCTGCCCCAGGGGCCTGTGCAGCCTGCCTGGCATGTTTTAGCATCATCCAGTGGGCTGACTTGCTGGAGACTCAGCCTGGGCCTCACCAAGTGCAGACTTTGAGGATAAGAAAGCCAACTGCAGAGCCCAGCACAGAGCCAGAAGCAGAGAAGCA